CCCATCTGCGATAGCCTTAGAGGGCTGCGCTTACACTCATAGAATCTGGGGTTACAATACGTAACCAACGTTTTTGGGGTGGTAATTTTGCTAATCTCCTCTCACGTGCACGAGCAGCTGGATAGAACAGGTGGAATTTACGCAGCTCATTTACACACTTTTCCTGAAGGTAGAAGAGTTTGTTGAATCTGACGTGACATGTTCGTACGAACCCTTCATACGAACAAAAGTAAGAGAAATTTAGGATAAGAATACGAACATGTTCTTGCATGAGGCCCAATGAGCCGTTGTGGCTCAGGGCACACAGAACATCTCGTCTTCTTTGGGTTGCGGCATGCATTTGCTGGCGCTGGTCCAAAATTAGAAATATATAATTGGAAAACTGCTGTTAAATGAGCTGCTCTTGAAATTCTAAACAGCATTGCAGTCGTATTAACAGCTTCATCTTTCTGTTTGAGTCTGTGCTCTGTCTTGTCCCTTTCTGTCCAGTGGGTCCAATGACCATCACCTGATTGGCTCTGTTTATAAATTATAGTCCGCTGACAAAAAAAGCACAAAGTGAATGCAAACTGCACCAAAGGAAAAAAATAAAGTCCACTTTTGGTCCGGACCAAACAAGTGGACCACAGGATTTCCTGGTGTGAATACAACCTACGTTTAAGAAATGATAATCAACATTTTTTCAATTAACCATTGAAAAAAACTTTAAAACACGTAAAATATATTTAAAGATCATTCTCACAATCTATGGATGAAAATCTACAACTGATAAACCTCAGCAGTCAATGCTTCCAATCACAAAACTCTAATTCAGTCAGTTTTTTCTGATCTGCAGCTAGAATCTGGTGTGGTAGTAGCTGAGAGTGAACCCCAACTCCCTCAAAATGGCTCCAAGCTTCACCCTTCCACAGGTTTTCAGAGGAACGTGTCTCACTCCGCGGAGGCTGATCAGAAGAAACACGTACAGTAGTTAACTGTACTGCAGCTCCATCTGCTACATCCCAGCTGAATGTAAAATTAAAAAGCCATGCTTTACAAACGTCTCTGATTTATGAACACGCAACCTTCACATCTGGCAGAATAAATCCAGGAAACAGTTTGGATGGAAATTATAGCATAACAGCCAAACCTGAGCTGAGCTGTGACTTTAAAACAGACGTACCAAAGCCTGGTTTTATGTTCCGTTACTAAATATTACTCAAACACTTTCACCCATCGTGGCTCAGAAACACAACAGGTGTTAACAACACCGGCACTTACAACTAAACCTAGAGACTTATTTCATCACAAACACATAAACAAGAAAAAATAAGTTTTTTGAAGGAATACACGTCACAGATCTTCACAGAGTTGTAGTCATTTTGGTCAAACTGTGAAAATAACATGAAGCACAAACTCTTGCGGGACCGACTCAGCTCACATTTTCATTCATTTCATTCAGGGTCTTATGAGATATTTTGCTAACAGACACATGGACACACAGACAGTAAATACACAGAAATAAATGAATGTAATTGTGGGAAAATTATCTCATTATCAAATAATTACACAGAAAACCGTGATCAATAAAGTTTCTTCAAAGAAATGGTCTTTGCACAGGTCAGAGTGTCGTTACAATCGCATGAGTGCACTTAGAAGGAAGTTGTTACTCAGCTTTATACACAGACCTGAAGAACTGAAAAACATCTGTAGGTTTTATACTAGAACAAG